GATAGATAGATAGATAGATAGATAGATAGATAGATAGATAGATAGATAGATGATAGATTAATATAAAGGATAGATAGATATGGATGATAGATAGATAGATAGATAGATAGATAGATAGATAGATAGATAGATAGATGATAGATAGATAGATAGATGATAGACTGATATAAAGGATAGATAGATATGGATGATAGATAGATGATAGATATAGATAATAGATCGATATAGATGATAGATAGATGGTAGATCGATAGATGATAGATAGATAGATAGATAGATAGATAGATAGATAGATGATAGATAGATAGATAGATAGATAGATAGATAGATAGATAGATAGATAGATGATAGACTGATATAAAGGATAGATAGATATGGATGATAGATAGATAAATAGATGATAGATATAGATAATAGATCGATATAGATGATAGATAGATGGTAGATCGATAGATGATAGATAGATAGATAGATAGATAGATAGATAGATAGATAAATAGATAGATAGATAGGCAGGCAGGCAGGCAGGCAGGCAGAAGTTAGGCATAGGGTCTCCTTCCCAGTCAAATCTGAAATGTGAAAGAGGCACAGGGTCCCACAAAGGACTTGTTGATGATATGAAATCGAGGAATCACAACCCTGTGACATCATCTCGTGGCCTTTTCCATATGCTCTTCGTTCTTCACATAGAACCTGGGTATCCTGGCTTAATATGGAAAGAACCACTTCTGCCCAAGAACCCGTAAGCCATCTTCTGGCTACCTTAGCAGTGGGCTGATGATGACAGAGTTGTAGCTCAATTGCGGTTGTAAATCGAGGACTGCTCGTATTGGCAGGCCTTTGTATTTTAGTATCCTCTCCAGTTTTCTTCTCTTGACTCCAGATTTACTGCTACGTACCTTTTCCAGACTTTTTCCTCTTTCTTATCAGCAATTTCTTGGTTGTTACCTGATGTTTATTATGTGAGAAGAAAAATTAATGTACACCTCTGTAAATAAAGCCCTATTTACCTACACTATCGTGTTTATTAAGGACTGAAGGGCCTGAAATAAAATCAATTTTAATCTGTGTGCTGAGATTGTGACCTCCAAGTATGTTGAAATTGCACTTTTAACCCTGGCAGTTGATTAGCTTGCAAGATGTGGCAAGCTAGGGTTGTGAGAAAAGAGGAACTATATGCTTGTAACGCACGTAAAAATAACCATGTTGTAACACTGAAGTTAAAGGAACTGAAAAATCCCCCAGTTGCTATGACACGTTGGCAGAATCCTGAAAGTATTGTGCTTTGTGATTTTAGCAATAGCAATAGCACTTAGACTTACCTGTGTTTCCCCAAAAATAAGACCCTGTCTTATATTTTTTTGCCACCAAAAAAGGCACCAGGTCTTATTTTCGGGAGATGTTGTCCACTGACTAACCTCACTTGCACACATCGCCCCGGCTTCCTTTTAGCTGTCAGAGGCCTTCAGGAACTTCTTCTGTGGTTGGCAAGGCTTTCCTTAAGGCCTCTGCAGCTGATAACAAATCTCCAGATCGATCTGGGGTTCTGTTATTAGCTACAAAAGTAAGGTACCAGGTAAGTAGTAGGGCAGCTCCAACACCCCCCATCCCCACCCTAGCTTAATTTTTACCTGTGTACTCTGGAGTAGACAGGATCTTAATTAGGGCTTATTTTGGGGGGCAAGGGTTTATATTGGGCGCACATGTAAAAATCAAGCTAGGACTTATTTTTAGGGTAGGTCGTATTTTCAGGGAAATGGTATATATCGCTTCACAGTGCTTTACAGCCCTCTCTAAGTGGTTTACTGAGTCAGCCTCTTGCCCCCAACAATCTGGGTCCTCCTTTTATCAACCTCGGAAGGTTGGAAGGCTGAGTCAACCTTCAGACTGGTGGGATTCGAACTGCCAAATTGCAGGCAGCCGGCAGTCAGCAGAAGTAGCCTGCAGTATTGCACTCTAACCACTGCACCGCTGTGGCTCTTAAAGGTATTTTAAGATATATAATGTAATGTTGGGCAGTGGGTTGGGGCCAACTGGCTTCAAGCCATTCTCTTTGACTGCTTGTCCAATTAACCCTCATTGCCATGGGATGTAAATGCCTTATAGCAAAGGCGTTACATTGGCTATGCTTTAAATTCTAATAAACCGCTGAATCCTAAAGTGAGACTTTTGTGGTGTGCTGTCTTTCTCAATTGCTATGAAATGCAGCTATGCTTAAGATTTGGGGTTTTTTTTCCCCCCTGACAGTTATTTATTTATTGATTAAATTTATACACTGTTACAGTGACTCTGGGCAGCTTACAAAATGACAGCAAAGTAAACAAGATATCGCACAAACAATTACAATTAAGAGGATGAAATAAGCAACTAAAAGAACCAAAGGAGATGTGACACGGGAGTAGGGATCTTCTCTCTAATCCATCAGCCACACACACCCCACCCATAAAGCACCCTTTTTGGGACCCCAGTATTCTTCACTGAATTTGGAGACAGAGAAATTGGGTGGACAATTTTGCAGATTTTTTTGTTTTGTTTTTTGTTTTGCAATGAAGGAAAAAGTTTCTCCAACAATTTCCCTGGGGTGTAAAACGTTGTTCTTTCTTTGGACTTGAATGGATGAAATTGAATTAAATGAAAATCTGGAAAGCCAAAGGTTGGGAATAATTAAAAAAAAGAATGCAATATAATTAAGAATGTGGCACTTCGTTCAACCCACCCGTACTCCCTGCATAACAAAAGAAAAGCAAACCCTTCACTCCATGCAGGACAATTTTTCTGGAATCATCTTCTTTAAAAGAAAATTTTAAAACATCTTGTCTTTCATCAAACTGAATCAGGGCAACTGGACAGCTTAGATGGTGGAAATATTTAGGACTTGGTCCCAGAATGGTTGATTAATACTGTGACTATTCAAATAAAAAGGCCATCTATATAATCCAGATTAAAGAATGAAGTCAGAATGTTCTCTTTCCAAACCAAATATGGAAGAAAAACCTTTGAAATAATTAATTGCTATCTTCGGTTAGAGCGTGAATGCACAAAAATAAATACGCACATATCAAGCATCCATTTAATCATATCTGCACAAGCTGTACAGTGTGCTCAAATGTTTTTTGTTGAAAAAAAGAGTTTGCCTATTGATAAAACTCAATATTAATGATAGAAAGCAGCCCAATTAATAAGCGCAAAGTGTGGGGGTTTTATACAAAAAAAAAATACAATTAAGAGAAGCATCCAAACAATTTAAGGAAGTGGGCTCTGGTCTTCAAACCCAATGCCAAAATAACTGAGGCAATTTTTTAAATGGAACAAGAGTCTTTCTAATTTTTAGCTGCAAAAGACTAACGTGGCTGTCCCTCTCAATGCGAACAAGCAAGCAAAAGGAAAAACCACAATTGCGGCTTTCAATCAACAACCAACCAATTTCTCTCCAAGAGAACAATCTATATCTTGCAAGCCTTTGCTGGGAATTTTGGTTAAAAGAAACAAAGACCCCAGACTTACACATTTACTCATGATGTCGCCTTGTCCAGCCACCAGTTGGTACAGTACTTAACTCCAATCTCAGCTCTGTGACTTAAGTGAAGTTCCCGTTGTCCTTTAAATAGCTGGAGGAAATCACATGACAAAAAGAATAAATGAAGGGTAGAGTCAGATAACCAGAAATGGAAGCAGGTGGTAAGGTGGGGAGAAGAGGGTGATGAATCAAAACAGCTGCTGCATCCGTTCCTTCTAACGGTATGGGTTTGGGGAGGGGTATGTCAGGGAATACCAGCAGCCCCTTGGCAAGCATTCGTTAAAAGGATTTTGCTATTCTTCCCCGGACGAGATTTTGGAAGCCAACAAAAACTATTGTTCTTGGTATGAATGCTAGAGGAGCATAATGATGAGAGTTTCGGAAATTTTATGCCTAGAAATATAGCAGAGGGAGGAGGAGAGGAAAAGGAGGAGGAGGAGAGAGAAGGAAGAGGAGGAGGGGGGGAAGGGAAAGAGGAAGAAGAAGAAGAAGAAGAAGAAGAAGAAGAAGAAGAAGAAGAGGAAGAAAGAGAGGAAGAAAATACATAGATACATAGATGATAGATAGATAGATAGATAGATAGATAGATAGATAGATAAATAGATGATAGATAGATAGATAGATAGATAGATAGATAGATAGATAGATAGATA